ATGTTTTTATCTTGGAGTGTAGAAAAAAAACAGGGCACAATTTTTACAAATAAAAAACAGCACATTTTTAAATCTGTTAAAAGTGAAACATTCTTGACTTTACCACAAGAATTGGAAAATACAGAAAGGCTTCATTGTTCTATGGCAAAAACTCTCAGCCCTAACAGATCATTTTTCATATACAACCTTTCTGTTTAGCCCCGTTTCTCATTTTTATTCTGTGACACCTCCTGTCCAGCCTTCTTTTTGTTTGCAAATTTCTCTGTGCTTGTTTAGTGTTTTTCTTCAGAAAAATGAAATGTTACATCTAAAAATGTCATTGTTACCTAACCATGTTTCTACTGGGTCTGGTAGACTATAAACAGTAATTGTGCTTTTGAGACATAAATGGGCCTTTTCATTCATCACTGTCCAGCTTCATATTTACTGCATAACAGCCAGTGTATCTTGAAGAATGTCACTGAAGTCATGGGTGTAGGGTGAAGCAGGTTGAATAACAATCTCATCTCATATTAAATTCCAACAAAATTAACAAAGACACGGACAAGTTACAAATTATTAGCACAAAGGGAAAACAGAGATGGTGATTATTAACAAATGCAGTTCCAGTATGTCTTATTCTACTCATTCTTGCTTGTGGATGGATTATAAAATGACACATAAGCACATAAAATGAAGCCTGACATTCCTATTTTTGACATTAGTTCATAGTGTATATACATAAAGAGCACGTCTTCTCTTGTAGCTCTTAATTCAGGTGATGGTGCTGCAAACAGTGGTCATAAGAGGTTTGGTTTATTTGACCTACTGATGACTGACAAGTTTGTAGGTTACCCAAATGGCAGTTTTGGCTCCTACCTCTGACCTCACTAGTACTGAAATAATATATAAAAATCTAAATATATATATATAAACATCTCTTTGTGAGACACTAATGGAAAAAAACCAATCAGATTCCCCCCACCAGGTGCACTGTATCTGGAGCTGATATTTTTCACTTCCATTAACACAAGAGCATTAGAAAAACTGCAAACAAGAGGGGGCCATTTGGTTGTTAGCTTATTGACCTTGAGATCTCATCAAATCTTTTCTTGAAAGAAGCCAGGAATATTGTCTTACCAGCATGCAGCTGAGCACTGCTACTGAGATTTCCTGCCATCGGTATTGAAAATGGACATTTAAATCAACAGTGACTTCAAGTCACTGCAGAAAACGAAGTGCAGGCCAGCAGTACATACAGTCGCTGTAAACATAATGCTTCTTCTAGTGACTTTGCAGACAGCATTATGAACTGTTATGCTGATATCACAATGGAAGGGATTAGTTGAGCTTTTTAGTTACTTAAGAGAGTTGAGCTCTATGGAGCTGAAAGTATCCCTTCAACATTTTCTTTGTCTTAAGATATTCACTGTCAATGTGGGAGGGTGGCAGTGAAAAGGTTCAGGTGTTCAATTGCACCATCTGATAGGACCAGTTGGGCCAGCTGACTACACCATTGACGAGAGCAGGTGATGAGAAGAAATTATACAGCTCCCACTTTGCTCTTTTTATGAAGTGTCTCTTGCAATAGTCAATTTTGTACTCAGTTGAAACATCAAAGATTCATTTTATGCAATATAACAAACCTAACGTTTACCCCTGAGCTTTTCTTTCCAATTAAACATTTCAGTATTGTTTAAAACAGTTTAACATTTTATCTGCACATAAGGGTTACAGGTAAAATACATTGACTGTTAACTTTAAGCAGTGGAACTAGTTATTGATATGACTTGTTGGGACCTCCGTTCTGTAGGGTTTCAGTCTTGCTGAAGTTTTTAGTGAACAGAATCAGCTAGTCAATGGCCGATTGGACAATTTATGAACCTAAACTTTCAGACACGACAGCTATCCAGGAAAAGAGTTGGAGACCCTTGGTGAACACTTCTCCTATAAAATATTTTGAGTTAAACAGCAATCACAAATTGCCTGTTTTCATTCCGTGACCATCTCTTGGGTAACCCCCATTTAAGGCATTTACATACCCACAGGTTTTGCATAGGAATGTTTCCACATTAAAAATGCATAAATTCCAGTAACTAAAAAGACCTCACTAATGGCAGGTGGATTTGGTGATTTTGAAAGAGATGTCAGGTTTCATATTTCAGAGAACAATCAACACAAAACCACACTAGAACTTTAAACCTGTTAGCCTTGACTTTTTCCAGATCAAAACCCTTTTAAGGCTGCAGGTAGAAGGAGAGAAGAGATTTCTTATCTACAAAACCCCTTTAACAGTGCCTTTTTCCCCCCCAAGAACCAGCGTTCTGCATTCCTGGTCAGTGGTATCCTTTCCTGTTTAAAACAATGAGCCAAAACACATCCCAGGGACTAACACAACCAATTAATAACACACTGTGGTGACCCTGAATGCAAAAACTATATATACAGTAAGCTACAACTGAACCACAGCATTGTGGAAAGACATATGCTTGGAATAACAAGAAGAGACAGAAAAAGAAACAAATGGACAACAAACAAGATTGTGTAACATCAATACTGCAATCAAGACTCCCAAATGGTCATGGGCAAGGAACATTATGGTTGGGCTTAGGATTTCTCATATTCTGTTCACTTTCAATATGATTGAGAAATTGAGAAATACATTAATCTCCAAGGAGGCACTGTCAGTACTTTGTATATCTTATTACTATATACTGATATAATACACTTTAAGCCTTGGAGTTTTGGAAGACAGTCCATACTGGGCAGGCTGCTGTGGAACAATAAGTTACACTGCCATTCAGATCTAACTTTGCTATCTGGGCCCTGTCCACCACTGAACCTCTAATCAAGGGAAATAAAAAAAATTAAACAAGCTTGAGGATAAAGCACAGAACTGACGTGATACCAGCTTGTGTCAAAGCTAGATGATGCCCTAAAAATCACAAGATAAACCACAATGAGACTCCGTCTCCTGGCAGCAACAGATGGGTCATTGCAGGATCCCCACTGTTGCTCAGCTGTTGTTTATAGTCACCACAAAACAATTAGTTTATTCAGTGACGTGCATCACTTATCGTCCTCTGAAGGACATGGACAAATGAGATTTCCTGCAGTGGAAAGTGTGGCGTTTCACTGAGCTGCCCTTTACTACAAACCACAAGACCACAGACGGTTTTCATGGAACCTATGGAAGAAAATAAGGAATCTTTTAATTAACAAAGGTGAATGTAAAAATATCTTGGTACACTCTTTGTTTCAAACTGAGAAATGGAACATAGTGTGTTGTTATTATTATTAAAGTTATTTCTAAATAAAAAATGTTATTAATTCATGTTTTTTATAAAGTGCCTTTCCATGACCCAAGGATGCTGTACACAGTGATAAAGAAAAAAAAGTTCCATTAAAAGTTAAAGGAGACAAATAAACAAGAGCATACAGGTTTATATAGACAGAATGTAGAGAAAACAGATAGAGGCCTTGGTGAAAAGGTGAGTTTTGAGTTTGGATTTAAAGAGACTCCAAGAATTTGTCTCTCATAGAGTCTGAGGAAGGGCATTCTATAACAGTGGAGATGGGACAGACAAAACTTTAATCCTGGGTACAGTGAGCAAAAGACCCGCCTCAACTGAGTGGAGTTCAGAGATGCATGATGGAATCAGATTATTTAGATAATAGTACATATACTGTAAGATATGTTTATCTTTTTCTGAGAATTACATTAAAACTACAGAAGTGTAATTGTTTAATAGAATGGTAATGACCATCTAAGAACCACTAGCCTCTGAACCCACATAAATGAAATCACCCCTTCAGTATCTTATGATATTATGGTATCTTCATATTCTGGGTACTGGGTGACATTTAAAAATGTTAAAATCGACAGATTTGTTGCCTTTTTAAAGCTTCGGTATAAGCAAACATTTTGGAACGGTTTGGTTTTAAAAAATAAAAAAAAAAATCCCTTTGAGGTGAATCTGAAGATATTCATTGACACCAACTATTGTGCAGGTAGAATGGGTCAGCTGCAGAACTGGAACAAAATTTACTAGAATATTTACATAGATTTCAGGGTGGACAGGTTTTAAGTGTACACCCATTAGGAAATACATGCAAATGTAAACTGTTGATTTATGAAACGGCAACAATTGCGATTTCATAATTTGGTTGGGAACTTCAGGATACAGGGACTCGTGAAATCGTTGATGCATTTGTATCATTTAGCTCTCAATTGCGATTTAAATGAGTAAAAGTCATTATAAAACTATTTAGGAGACATTTAGAAGGATTTTTTTCTTTGGTGAAAAAGCCGAGGGTCGAAACACCAAAAAAGTGTACCGTGAAACGTACTGTACTTGTATAAGAATTATTCCTGCAATCGATAGCCCGCTCAAGGATATATACTCAACAGAAATACAACATAACGTAGAGGTACTCCCCACAGAATAAATTACGCTATAAATGATAATATTGTGTGATTTAAAAAGTCATTATTGGACCTGTTCACTTAATTACAGGTAACAGGAGACTGTTCAACACATTTCATTGCCGTTTGGTCTTTACGACGCTACTGGAGTTATTTTTTGAGCGATGGAAATCAATGACAAGGCACGTGTTCATAATAGGAAGTGCTGTCCATCACAGCCATAATTCACTTACAGTAGCTTAATACAAATCTGATTTTTTACTTATGTTCAAGTTTTATAACTACTTCTTATTTAATGAATAAAGTCTAAAAATTATGTAATCGTATGCTTTTGATTAAAAAAAAATGTCACAACTGTGTTTTATCACCACTTTCCCGATGTTTGTTATTGGAGTTTTGACATGCGAGGTTCATCAATCAATACCAATATACAGCAGTCCAGTGCACACTTCGTAAAAATCTCCCGGAATTCTTGCTACGGTCAATGCAATGTATATTATTTTGGAAAGTTGATATTTATTCCTGAAACACCGAAAAGCAGCTCGTTTCAAAAATTCACTTTAAACATATAATTGAAATAGATACATATACTCACCATGTCATTTAATAGGAAGTCACCCGCAGCGGTCTTATGTCATTTTTGTTTTGTTTTTTTGTAAAAAAAAAACTTTCTATCCTTCAGCCTCAACCAAGCATCATTTCAAAGCATTTCCATCACAACGGGCTGTGGCAACCAGCGCACGGACACCGAGGGAACAGCGCTAGACGCCTTCGAAGCAGACGACCCTGTGGTCTTTCCTTTAAAGCACTGCTGCTACATGAAGCACACAGTCATTTTTTCTCCGCTACAACTTCCATCTTATTGATTTTGCTACCTTTCGACTGCCTCCCAGCCACGTTATGAAATTAAAAGAGTGGGGACATGTAACAGCCATCGGCAGCTTCCAGCTAACGCGCAGCCAACACAAGAGCAGGCAGACACCTCGACGGCTCTCATTGGGCAGCGCGCTCACATGACTCCCAGACGCCAAGAACTGAGGCAAGCATGAGGAAGGAAGTTGCCTGTCACCTGCCGGTTGTAGCTTTTAAGAGCTTTCTGCTTTTTAGGATTTTTAAAGCAGTAAACACACAAACAAGTACTGTATCTCTCCGTTTTCACCAATTTCCTCCAGTACAGTCTAACGGCGAGCTGGATCCTAACACGGCAGAGAATTGGCACATCCTGGACCGGACAGCAGTCCATCACAAGGCATGCACACGCATGCCTGCGAGTTCAGTTTTGAGATGCCAACTACTGTTAACTACACAGTCGAGGAGTCGGGTATTATGGCTGTGACTATCATTAAGGAATACAATAGCTGAGTAGAGAGAGGGCGGATGAGCTGTGGGAAAAGAAGACTAGAAGAGTGCTTAAGCTTTATCATAATAATAGAGAGTTTGTGAAAGGACAAACCACGTTCTTGTGAGTGTGTCAATAGCAAATATACAAAATATTTTTATTAAACGGAGTAGAATATATATTTCTGTTTTTTTACTGTTATGTGTACTTATAAACCCTTTTAGGAATATGAGTTTGTAAAGTTCTGTTGTCTGTTTTCTTCTGTGATTAATATATTCTTAAGAATAAGCTTTACAGGACAGAGGGTTAAGCCACCCCCCACCCAAATTAGTTTGTATTGACCCTAATGAGGAGTAGGGTCAGCTAACTGAAATAGTACTTTACAAGCATTTACTGTAGAAGTATTTAATTTGCAGGCAATGGTTTTTACAGTATCAACATTTAAAATCTCTCATACTGCAATTTTTTAAAATTAATCTAAACCTTCAGGTCAGATAGCACATTAATGTTTGTCCACTGTTGCTGCAACACCATTAGAGATGTTTGTTAAACATTGCAGAATAATGTATTGTAGCTGTGGGCCAGTGGCACCCTCAGGCTGGTCACCTTATTTGCCTAGGGGCATACTTAGAACTGATAACTGGCTTGTATTTGTTGATATGTAATATTTTTGTATGTATATTGCCATTCTTTTATTTGTGTGCACTAACAAGTCAGGCTCTGTACAGTAGTGTGTGTCTTGAGAGGTGGGGTTGCTGCCTGGAGCCAACTATTGTGAGTGCTGTTGTACTGTAGGCAGGGACCACTGTACCACTGCCTGTTAGCTTGAAGCAGGTATTTCTGGCTGGTTGTTGGGAGTGATGGACTAATCACTTAGATAAGAATGGTGTAACTGAACATTTCTTGCTAGGACACAGGAATCAAATTGTCTGTAGTATAATTGTTATAAGAAAAGAGAAGATGTCCCTCTTTATCCCAAACCTTGTCCTTAAAGCCAGAGAGGTTTATGGGTTTGAAGGTATTAAAAACTCATAGTGAGACATTAGTGTTTTTCTTTGTTAAATGAAGTAGCCGAGATTCATGACACAATAGACAAAATGACATAGGTACAATCTTTTCTTGTTTGGTTAAGAGGAACAAAGATAAGGCAAGTCAATAAAGTGGTAAATGTTTGCGTGGATATGGCACAAAATGCCTTGAGAATGTTTATTTCCAGGCACAGGAAATCAGATACGATTTTAAAGGGTTCCAAAGTTGTTTCATATGTTGTATGCTTTAGTTTCTCTTCCAAAGAAGTATCCCCTTGGCAGTTCTGTCTATCTCCTTTGATATGCAGTCACTGTTCCATTCCAACTATGGAATGGAATGTTAGTCATAAGCAGTACTTCTGTTGCTAAGGAGACTGTAAAAATATCACCTGAGGTCGTCTCAGCAACGTCCTGTAATCTGTGGGCGAGATATGATTTGGGAGATTCATTGCCCCCATTTGTCATCTTAAAAAAAAAGTCGTTTCAGCAGAGCTAACAGAAATGAAAGCAATGATTGTTATTCAAATGGTTGGCTTTAGAATAATTTTGTTATAGTGAATAATACATATTCTTCTAAACAGGGGCACTCAGTGGGCATTAAAACAGCTGTTGCAATATTACTATCATAAAGAAGTCTTCAAGGGACTTATCGTCTTTCAGTCATTTGAAAACTCTGCTTTCCTACTGCTCACAAACTACTCCCTGTTGTATAACTAATCTTTTCACAGTAACTATTTGCAGCTCCTCCTAGACATCAAGAAGAAAAAACTCATCTATAAACCTGAATTAAATTGTTGCAAACAGCTTTACTTCGTATTTTTCTTTTCCTTTTTGTGAGCAGTGGAGTTGATGTTTGAAATATAAGGTTCCCAGTCAGTAGGCCTTTTTATTGAGCATAGAAATTCAAACAGAGAGCCCAAAAGTAATAAGGTAGCTGTACATTATCAGAAAGTCATTTTTCCTGGTAAGGTCCCACAGTATTTGGAGCCTAGGACACAAGGTAGGGCCTAAGAGAATGTAGCACCTCTTCTGAACAGCATTGCATTTTTGTAGACCTGAGGCAGGACCTCAGACAGAAGGAAAATATAATCCAGAACACTCAGTGAAAATCCACTCAAACATGGGGCGAACATGCAAACTCTACATGGACAGAAACCTGAGGCTTGAGATGAATCCAAGACTGTGAAACTGGGAGGCAGTAGTGCCATTATACCATCCTCGTTAGAAACTGCATATACTGTACAACATGTTTGTTCTTCAGCATTACACTATGAAATAGAAGAATATTTCAGGGATGAGTCAAATTTTGCCGCACTAAAACCTTGACAGCTCTGAAGGTCAGTAATGTAGTTTTGGCATCCTAAAGGATTGTCGCGGGCTGTGAAATGGCTATTGTCCAAATGTAAGATACCTTGAAGATACCTCGACCAGTATGACTCAGACAGCTCAGTTTTATATTTATACTGTAAATTACAGCAATGTTCCTGCCAGACTGTACTGAAAAGTGTGACTTCAGTTAGCTATTACCATACAATACATGCTGGAACAATGTAAGAATCTTGCCCTCTGGTTCATATCCTATTTGTTTGTTTTCTTGCCTGAAAACAAAGACATCCTTGGGTCTAAGGTGCAATCACATCTACACATCACAAATATCTTGTGATTATATTTTTTTGCCAAGAAACGTGTGCAGAGTGGATAACAATCTCTCGGTGAAAACCTGACTTTTATGTTCCACCACCAGTAAACACAGATTTATGACAGGCCCACAAAATTGTTGATGCAGTCTGCTTAAGATGAGCCCAAGAATAGACCAAATTCACCAGCTTTTTCCATTATGTGTTAGTGTAAGTGTATGCATTCAGGAATACTTATTTCTCTCAAAACGCATGAGCAATTCAGTAAAGTGCCTCTGACAAGTGTTATCACTTGTCATTTTGCTATTTATAGGTTACTTATAGTTTGATGTTTTAAGAGGTTCTCTTTACAGTGATTCAAATAAATGGATGTATACTGTACATATATTTACTGGATACAGAGTGTGTTACTGACAAAAACAATCTGGCAGATTTCTTTAGAAGTACATCTGTATACAGTATTATTACATTGTAGCATATCAGTTTATTATTACATGATATTTTCTGCCCCTTAATTTTCACATCAGTTATTTTGTCACATCATAAACTATTTTTTATAACCTTCCTAGACACAGTTCTTCTGTTGATGTATATTGACTGGCCTTCAGTGTATTTCTGTTTTCATCTTGTTGGCAAATAAAGAAATAAAACTAGACTTGCTACTTCCTTTTATGATAGAATACTGTATATTCTGAAAAGTAAGCTTCTATATTGCTTCAAGGTATCACAGAATTACAGATTTTGAATTCCAGTTAAAGTCACACTTAATTTTTCCTTCAAACCTGGTCCATCTTATGTGCTGTTTCATAAAAGGGAGTTTCAAAGGAGTAGAACTGTTGAAAATGAAATTGTGGGAAACCAATTCCAGTTTAAAATGGATATTTTCTTTTCTGAGTAAATATTTCCAGGAAGGGACATTAAATGTTAACCTTAAAATGTTGATATTCAAAAGGTCAGATGCTCAGAAAGTAAAACATTTCTGTCTCCTACGTGTTCATGCTTGACAGCATTTTCCAACTACAGCAAAGAAAAATACAAATGACTGGCTGTTCAAGAGAGTGACTGCCCTGGGTTGGCTGTTATTTTCCAGGTACATGTTCCAGTAACCACAACAAGTGTTCATAAGTCCCAAAATGTGGTACAGATGAATGAAAATTTTGAAACATAAATATGAAAATCAGATCTTAGAACTAGGATTTTGTGTTCAAGGCATACACTGTATTATGTTCTGTTTTCTCCCAAACTCTGTTTTAGTTCATGTTGTCTCTGTTGCAAAAATGATTTGGTTGTTGCTTCCTAATCACTAACAATACAGCAGTTTCCCTTAAGGAAATTACACAATGTTAATTCACTGGTATTGTTAATATATTCTGTGTGACTTAATCAGACAAACACTTTGAATACACAGGGGGAAAGCCTGTTTTATTTTACTGAACTGTATCAAAGTTTTGACTGCTTTTTCTAAGCAAATAACATGAATGCAATTATATACTGTAGTACTGAATTGTGGGTACTTTAAAATATTAATTCAAAATACATTCAGTCCTCTGAGACTTATGAACTAGAAATTGTAACATTTTTTGTTTAAATGTTTAAATGAATGTATTGCTATTATTTTCTGGGGGATATGTAATAAAATGTAATGAAGTACTTAACATTTGCCATCACTTTGAATAACCACTTAACCTGCTAGCAATTCTTTAGACTTTGGGTGGACTACAGCAGATAGAGAACATGCAAACGCCACGCAGAGTGCAGCCTGGGAATTGAACTCAGGACCCAGCACTGCAAGGCTGCAACACTGTGCCATTGTGCCACCCTACTTAAAATTTCACAGAGTAAACAAAAAAAGGTACAGTGCAAGTTTTATTAGAGAATTACTCTAAAAAACAGGCTTATTACCCTAATATTCATTGCTGGTGATAGCGGTTTGAAGGTTGCAAGGTACGGAGAAAGATCATTGGATGATCTACAAGTGAAAATAATTGGATTTTTAAAACCGATGTCTGTAACGGTAGGCACTGTGCTGTAAGACATACAGTACTGTTTTTCTGATGGGATCGTGGGATCCTATGGGACTTTTCGGAAAGGTGTTAACTTCGGTACTTCAGCTGAATTCTACTATGGACATGAACAATTAGGATTTCGCAAACGTAGCTTTTAATTAAGTGAAGCAATTCCTCACTTGAACTGATCTACCGTGTAGTGGGGCTTCTGGCGTTGACGTAGAATAGCTGGTGTACATTACTCAGGTGGGTGCTGCTCTTCAGTGGGGTAGTTGAAGTGCGTCCTCTCCTGTATGTGAAGCGTTTTGGCATCTTTCGGTATTAAACGCGGTATATAAACACTCGCAATAATCAGTATAAATGCGAATAAAAATGTGCAGAGTAAACCACCGTTAGTATGACAACCTTTGT